GGTGATGAATATTGTAGATAAATAATAGCCACCATGCTCCAAAAGAAGTATTCGGTGTTTGTTATATACTTAAAATTTATTTTTAATTTATTTATAAATAATGGTAAATGTTAGACATTTATTCTACAAAAAATCAGTTTTCTAATCAATCATAATTGGATTGAACTTTAATATTTCGTTTATAAGAAAGGTTTCATTAAAGGAGAAATTTCGATAGATGGTTAGAATCTTGGCATTGTTAAAATAAGTGTAAGTGGAAATATTAATAAAACGGCCCAAGTCAGAATCCAAATTTTTAGTTATAAAGATCAAGCAACAATCAAGGATGCTTGATTCCGCAATGGGGAAGGGGTGTTGTGTCTACACCAGGGTTGCCGCGGGTACAAAAAATCTTCGGGTACGGGTTTCGGGTATCGGGTTGGAGCGTTTTCATTTCGGGTAACGGGTTTCGGGTTGGCAAAAATATCGGGTACGGGTTTCGGGTTTCGGGTTATAAAATTTTCATTTCGGGTATCGGGTTTCGGGTTGGCAAAAAATTCGGGTACGGGTTTCGGGTTTGGCGAAAAATTCGGGTTATTTTCGGGTGACCAGGTATTGGTGAACTAAATTGTAAGGGGACAAGCTATGTTACGTAATAGGATTTTGGGTGATATAGAGAGGCAAATCTGAAGAGATTAAAGAGACATTGTGGGATTTGGGGATTAAGATGGATATCTTGGTAAAATCCCACTATATATGTACTAATATTCCTCCGCTTTATCTCCATTAAGCCTCCAAATTTGTTCCATTTTTAGCGCCGCAGGCGAAAATTTTGAGATTTTTGGAAGACCAAGAAGCCAAATTTCTTCGCTTTTTTGCGCCGCAGGCGAAAATTTTGAGAAATTTCAAGGGCCAACAGCCAGATTTTTCCTTTTTTCTCCGCCGGAGGCGAAAATTTTGAAAATTCATGACTTATTTAAAATTTTTAATGCTTTTTCAAGCTTAGAATATTCTAAAAATAAATTTAAAAATCTAAAATGAAAATCAAAGTTTAAAACCCTTTATTTTTGAAAAGAAAAAATTTTTAGCATCATTACCAGCCCCGGATTCGGACCCAACCCTACGAAAATATCGAGCCAAACGCCTTACCCATTCAACCACCGATCAACACAACGGAAAAAAGGAAGAAATGATAAATATTTCTTTCCCTTTTCCTTCTTTTTATAAATTTTTAAATTTATTAAAGAAATCGAGTAAGGCTCAGATTTCGGGTAGAAATTTCGGGTTTTAACCAATTTCGGGTCACGGGTTTCGGGTTGAAAAAAATATCGGGTACGGGTTTCGGGTTGGAAAATTTTCATTTCGGGTATCGGGTTTCGGGTACAAAAAAAGGCCGGGTTTCGGGTTTCGGGCGGCAACCCTGGTCTACACCAGGGTTCCGATTCGTACTTTTTTAAGTACTTTTAAATCAACATTTTGGACATTTTGGATTTGAAAAATGAAAAATGGAAGAAATCTGGCTTAAGGACTCCAAAATTCTCAAAATTTTCGCCTGTGGCACAAAAAAAAGAAGACTTTTTGCTCAGTGGAAACAAGAAATTATTAGAAAAGATTCATTTAGGAGAGAAATATAGAAAATTTGAGGACGAATAAATATTTTCTAATTTAATCTGGAGTGTACTTTTTATTTGGAAATTTAGTCCCTATGTACTTTCAAATCGAGATTTTTGTACTCTTGATTGGTATTTTGTCGATCATAACCCTGGTCTACACACTTACGGAAAGAATATTTTCTCAATAGATAACATACCTCAACAATATCATCATAAAACCAATTCTCCTTTAAATTTTTCACAAAAATTTTCGGTAATTTATAGCCCTCCTTTGCTAAAATATTGAATAAACATCGCCCCATGTATCCGCCATATATGTTTTTTGTATTAATGGTAAGACATTCAAAATTTTCTAAATGATTCGAAACGAACTTCCAACTATTTTCAAGTGTAAGATTTTCGCTATTAGGAAATATTTCAGGTTTTTGAATGTGTAATCGAGGAAGTTGAAAATAATAAATTCCATCAGTTGAAAATAATAAATTAATCATTTCTGGATTAATTACAACTTCAGCAAACAAGGAATATTCAAAAAGACAATTAAAAAGTTGTTCCAAATAGTAACGAATAATAACCAATTCTTCAATACTTCTTGGAAAGGTTGGCAGTATCAGAATATAATAACGAGGCTCGTTTTCTGTTAAGTAGTTAAACATTCTCTCAACACAAATAAAACAGTCTCTGCGACATTCAGAAAAGGTTCTGTGATCAGAAAAGACGTTAGAAACATATTGAAATAAAGGCATGTATCTTTTTAAAGCATTCTGCCACTGAAATAGTATTTGTAATCAAATTAAAAATTTAATCTTTTACACTTTTTGGTAATAGTTTGGTTTAGACTAGGGCCCGGACATTTCTTTCGACGAAATATATTTGCAGAAAAAATATATTTCAATAAAAATCTGCTCCGCTTATTTTAATTGCTTGCAGGTGCAAAATATTTCTTCCAGCTTATAATTTTGTGCAGAATTGCCGAATCTGTGTAATCTTAATACCATTCAACCCAGCTTGTTGGGCTCTTTCGAATGCTATGTAAAATGATAGATCAAGCAAAAAGGCTCAAAATGATCAGGGAAACGGAAAAAGGGGGTCTAAATCGACGATTCGATCTCACATTTTTAAAAATCCTTATAAAACACAAGGGTGCAAGATTTGTTACATTTTTAGCGCCACAGACAAAAATTTTGAGGATTATGGAGGCCGTACGGATTTTACAAGAAAAATATATAGCATCCTGTCTTCAAAAGACCACTAAATAATCCTGTTGACTTATCAAAGAACCATAAAATGAGGAAAAATCCGCAAAAACATATCGAAGCCCTGGCCTAAACAAACTATTCCCTTTTTGTATGAAAAAAACTCAGAATTTCTCAAAATTTAAGTTTTAACCTGGTTCTTAAGTTGATAGTTTAAATTATATTTAACAAGTCCAGGTTCAAGTTTAACGATTCTATATGAGTCTGACTCTTGAAGTTTAACATGCTAAAATTCAATTAAAAAGATTTTTTAGCTAATATTTACTATTGAAAGTCTTTTGAATTTCATTTGAAAGCACAATTCTTCTTTATATTTATTAATTAAATTGTAAAAGTAAAAATTGATTTGTTTTACAGAGAGTAATTGGTTCCCTAACGTTTCGTCACTGAACTTTTCGTCACCGAACCTTTCGTCAAAACCTTTCGTCACTGAACCTTCCGTCACCAAACCTTTCGTCAATGAACCTTTCGTCACCAAGACTTTATTTTTAAAAATCAAATAAGAAGTTGTCAAAAATGACAAATTGATCATAATCGGTAATTTAGTTATATTTACTGTGTTGCTAAATGATAGGAGACAGTACGTAGGTACCCAATTGGGTCATTAGCTCGCTGAGCAAATTCAGCAAATATTTGTTGCAAATTTTGATCTTGAATGACATAAACCGACTTCCGCAAATTCAGCAAATATTAAAAAAATACCCCGGAAAATACTTTTATGATTTACCTCTTTTTTGCAAGGCTCAGCATTATGTGAATGGTTAGCATATTTTATCCATCCGATTTTAAAACGGTTCCCGTCTCCTTCATGCCATGCTGACGCGACATGGATACGGCCCGGACAGTACGGAGGTCTCTAACAAATACTTAAATAAAAACCAAACATAATCCATACTTTTGGGCATTTCCAATATTCAACGTGATTATCCACGGCAGAATAACGTTCAAGCTGGTATTCAAAGCCGTCACGAGTTAAGAGAGATGAACCTCTTTTAGATTTTACTTCAATAAATTCGAGTAAATCCTCCATCTCCTCGGAAGATGAAGAAAAATTTGCCCCTCATCTGATGATGAACCTACGTCCATTTTAGCCAATATGAGTAAAAAAATTCATGAAAATAATTTTTTAGTAAAAATAAAAATAGTAAAAATAGTAAATCAAAATAAATTTATTTCACTTAACATCCTTATTATTATTTGTTTTTTATAAAAAAGTTATTAATTTTGTTTATTATATGTATTTCATCTTCATTCATATGACTTTCTTTTATTCAACTTAATTTCCATAAATCTATTTTGTTAAATTTGTCCATCCAGATGTGCATTCTCTTTTTTATGGCGAATAGTGACGAAAGGTTCAGTGACGAAAGGTTTGGTGACGGAAGGTTCAGTGACGAAAGGTTTTGACGAAAGGTTCGGTGACGAAAAGTTCAGTGACGAAACGTTCGGTCACCGAGTAATTGACTAAAATCAAGACATTTTAATACATCAAGTTTTGTTTCAGTTGGAAGATTAAACATTTTTAATTATCTAAAAAATAGAGAAAAATCAGAATTTTAGTTCTAAAATTTACATAATAAACAAAAAATCTGCAGTTAAAAATGGAAAAACATTAGACAAACATTAGTAACAAATACCTATCAGACTAAAATGTCCTCTAACTCTTTTTCGGCAAAACGAAACTTGATGGTCCATCTAGTCGCATGAAAGGAATAATTCACATTAAAATTTTTTCGAACGTTCATTTTTGTTGATTCAAGCGTATCGATTATTTACCAACTAAATAGTTAACAGTTGCTCAACTTTTTGTTAAAATTTTATTTAAAAATATTTAATATTCTTCCTCAAGTTTAATTCAATGGGTGAAAATGATTTAAAACAACTAATTGATTCTTATTATCCAGCTTTTCCTTCAAAGGGGTTCTTCTTCGGAGCAGATCATTTCAGTCCTCCCATTTCAGTCCGCAATCCTTCAACTGTAATTGAAAATATTTAAAAATATATTGAGCTAAAAATCTGGTAGAAATAAATTTTATTAAACACAAAATTTAAATGAAATAAACAAAGAAAAGGAGAAAATTTTAAAAATATTTCTTCAATAAATCAAAATCATTCATTGTATCCATAACGAAAATTCTTGTATTCTACTCCTTCATTTTTTGATGTCAACATAAAAGAATTCATGGCAAAAGGAGAATTTCACTTTTGGATTGTGAATATTGACAATTTCATATGTTGTAGTTGTTGAATTCACAAATTGTTTAATTTTAGTATTTGTTGCTCTCTCGCTTATTTTAGGACATGGAAAACTTAAATTATAGTGTAAAGTAATGCCAGACACCATTTTTGAACAATCTTCAGCTGTAGCTATATACTAAAAATTTAAATTTATTTTTAAATTTTCCGTGAATAAATTACTTCAACAATATAATCATAGATCATTTGTACATTTATATATTGTTCTAAGCCTTCTGGAGAACTGTCGAAACCCAAATAAACTTCTTCAAAAATGTCTCCTCCACTTGTTAAAATTTTAAATGAAATATCTTTAGATTTTTTCATGTCTTTAGATAAAAGAAAATTGGTTGAAAGAGTTCCACCAAGTAAATGGTTCGAAGCAAATTTAAATATATTTGCAAGATTGTGATCCGTAAAAGACAAACTGTAATGTTGAGCATAGAATTGTTTAGCATTTCCAAATAATAACTGAATCAATTCTGGATTGAATATAAATTCGTTAAACCAGCCATATTGAAAATAACGTTTGTATAATTTGTTTAAATAATAATAAACAATTTTGATGTCTTCTTTGCTTTTAATAATTTTCGGTGGTTGTAGAAAATATTCAGTGCCGTAAACTGAAAATTATTTATGTTAAATAAAAATAATAATCTTATCGAAAAATTATTAAATAAAAATTGGGTAGATAAAAAATTTAGGTCTTATAAATAATTCTACAAAAGAAGTTGATGTCAATATGTATTTATGAGTCCATCGACTACAAAAATATTTTTTTAATTCCTAAACATTTAAAAATATCAAGTTTCGTTTCTGTTGGTAAAGAAAAACATTTTTTGAAAATTTATATAAGCACTAGGAATTAACTGAAAAATGATAAAAGCTGTATTTAGTAAAATGTACAAAAAATATTTAAGAAATAGATGGACAGGATTAACCTGTTAATAATGTAACGAAAATAAATTTAATAAAAAATTATTTAATTGAAAAAGTCAAAGAAAAAAGAATTTTTTTAATATTTATATCTCCAATAAATCAAGAACTTATTTTCTTCTCCAAATTTTTACTCCTTCATTTTTCTAATTTTTACATACACAATCATTCCATTATTTCTTTCTTCATTGCAAAATGAGAATTTAATTTTTGGATTGTGAATATTGGCAATTTGGTATTTTGTGTATTTAACTCCATTTAATTGTTCATGTTCAAATGCTTCTGCTCTCTCACTTAATTTCGGTCTTGCGGCGTTAGATAAATTAAAAATAATGACAGCCACTATTTTTGAACAGTCTTTGGATGTCGTTATATACTAAATTTTATTTAATTTTTATTGATAAAAATAAAATTAAAATGTAAAAGGGAATTTTGGAAAAAAATAGAAAGAGAAAACAAAAAGAAAACTTTCAATAGATAACTTACTTCAACAATAGAATCATAAAACCTTTGCACACTAAAATTGCTTAAAATAATTTTCGGTAATTTATTGCCTTCATTTGTTAAAATATTTAATAATTTTCTTTCTGTGTGAGTGAAATAAATTTCTCGCGAACTGATGATAAGACATTCATAAATTTTTGTATGATTTAAAACGAAGTTCCAAATATTTTCAAAGGAAGCATCGTTAGGCATTAAATTTAGTTTTTGAATGTGAATTTGAAGAGGAATTGTTTTGTCGTTATCAAATAAAATATTAATCAGTTCTGAATTAAAAACAACTTGATTAAAGGAAGCAGATTCAAAAGCACAATTAAAAAGTTGTTCCAAACAATAACGAACAGTAACCATTTCTTCAAGATTTTTTGGAAAGTGTGGCAATTTTAAAATATAATAATTAGGTTCGTTGTCCAATAAATAGTCAAAGGTTCTTTTAATATAAACAAAATACTTTCCACGATATAAAGAAAAGTGTTGAAAATTATATAAAAATAACGGAACTTGTCTGTATATACTATTCTGCCACTAAAAAGATAATTATAATTTAATTAAATTAAAATTCATCGTGTCTTTGAACCCAAAAGTTCGTCTGTTTTATTCTAAATAAACTTTATTCTAATTTTTTCTCCAAGTTAATTTGATTGGCAAATAATTTTTTATCCGCAAATCATAACTTTTATCACAAGTTATGACTTGTGGTTAAAATTAACGGGATATTTGGATGTAAGTATTACACTCTAAAATTTAATTTAAAACCTTTTCCTCAAGTCGATTATTTAAAATATATTGAATAACAGGTTCAGATTCAATGATTTTATATGATTTTATCTCTTGAAGATAAGCATTCTGAAATTAAATTTAAAAAAATATCTGGTCATTAGATTAATATTTACTATTGAGATTTTATGGAATTTCATTCGAAAACACAATTCTCCCTCATATTTTCTAATTAAATTGTAAAAAAAGAAATTTGTCAGTTTAAAAGAAGTTAATTGATTAAAATTAAGACATTTTAATACATCAAGTTTTGCTTCAGTTGGAAGAGAAAGCATTTTAAATATCTTGAAAATATGAGAAAAATTCTTGAGATAAATAAAAAGAAAAAACAAAATCAAAATGTATTGCTAATGGTCCCTAGTCGGAGTGAGATGTAAATTATCTACTCAAAATACGGCAGTATGGATGCGATTATTTCATGAAATTTTGCTAAATAAATGAAAAATAAAAACAAAAAATTCGAAAACTAGTAGGTAAAAAAGTCAGCTAAAATTGTAACTGAATGGCAAATAAAGTTGGGAAAGAAATTTTTGAATTTATAAGTTTAATTCTCCTTTATTCATTCTCATTGCCTAATTACACAGATGAGCGTTGTGAATGCCTCACAAAGGCGAAAATTTTTTATATTAAATGTTAACTTTCAAATGATAGAGGGAAATTTAGAAGATTGTATTTAATCCTATGGTTGAATGCCAACAGAAAAAAATGTTTAGCAAAAAATACTTTTAATTTAATAAATTTCAACAAATAGATTGGAAAAAAATTTAAAAAAATTTTTAAACTAATAATTATCAAGAAACAAAAAATTTAAACGATTTTTAAAGTATAAGCGATGTTTATTTGAAAAATTGGTTTTCTAGATTCGCCCATTAATCCATTCCGGAAATATGTAAATAGTTAAAATAATTACTAAGTGCTTCAATTAGACAAGCCATATTAAAATAAATACTATCTAATTTAATGTTAGTTACCAACAGTGTTCATAAATTTCAGCTTTGCTCGTATTCGTACTTCGTGCCAAGGTACGAGTACGAATTTTGGTACGAGCCTATAAACACTGGTTACCAATTGTGAGTAATCTGTATTTTATTGAGGGTTGACTCCAATTTTATTTAACACATTTTTGAAAAATAGGAAGAAAATATGTTTATCACAAAAGCAAAAGTAAAATAAAATAATCTTGTCAATTAATTCTTTTAGAAACCGCCCAGAAATCGGTTTTTTGATTTGGAACTCATAATAAAAAAGATTAGGCGAAAATAATTAATTCCGGAAATGTCAAAGTATAAAGGTCCGGGCGGCTCTAGTTAATACATATAAATTAGCAAAGAAGAACATTAAAGGCGTTTAATTGTTAATTTTTTCAAATGTGAACTATATAAGATAGAGAATTTAATTTTTGGATCATAAATGTTCGAAAGTTGGAAACATTTTTTAGTTTTTTCAGCTCTTTCATTTAAACTAGCAAAATTGATAATAAGATTATTTAATACAATATTAGCCACCATTTTTGAGCAATTTTTTGACGTTTCAATATGCTAAAATTGTAAGAAATAATTTACTCAAGTTCTTCAAAAATATTCGGGTCTAGTTTAGGAAAAGCTTATATATACTCTATTCTTGGGACGTATGTACACTGATAGGGCGCTTATACTATTTTTGGGGCGCATAAATGCTCAAGGGACGCTTGCCCTAAACCATTCCTTAGAAAATTCTCAGTCAAAAATTTTGGGATTGCTTTTAACAGAAAAATCTGCTAGCAATTGAGCAATTTAATCCTATAATAATTTAGCAAGTTTGAAAAGTGTATATTATGTCAGAACAGGTTTAAAAAAATACAGTGAGCTTTTTAGGTAATCATGTCTGAACTCCTACAAAGATAATGCAGAAATAACCATAAATCTTACATTTGTAATAATATCAAAAAGATTTTGCAAATTACAGGCCTTTAAGCAAACTTCATTAAACTTGTTTCCCCTCATTAAAATTTTAAATAAAATATCTGTATATTCTGTTGTGTCTATATTTCGATCAAAATTAATTCTAAGTAAATCACTGACAATTAGATGATTCAAAATAAATTGAAATTTATTTTCAATACTGTAGTAATCCATAAGCAGCCAAGCTTTTTGAATATAAACTTGCTTAGCATTTCCAAATAATAATTCGATCGCTTCTGGATTGAATGTAAATTCTTCAAAATAGCCATATTCAAAACAACAATTAAATAATTTATTTAAATAATAATAAATAATTGTGACGTCTTCTTTGGTTTTAATAATTGTTGGTAGTTGTAGACGATAAGGGGTTTCATTGTTTTTAGCTAAAAAAACATATCTTTTTTACAGTCCGCATAAAAATTATCTAACCTTCAATTAAGCAAATATCAATATTGTTGACTAAAAATTGATCAGGCAAATACAAAGAAATTGGTTTTTCTAGTCCATTTTTCAACTAAAAATTTAAAAAATTTTTGAAAGTAAAGGGAATATTTTAAATTACCTTCCCTTCAAATTGTTCATCATTCAATGGAAAGTTAAGATTTTCAGCTTTAGGTTTAATTAATTTATGAGGATATTTTTTGGATTGATCGAAATACTCCTTAAAATTATTTAAAGATTAGATTAATTAATTAATTAACGTTACAATTGAGATTTTAAATAATTTCTGCCGAGCAAGATTCCTCTCAAAATAATTAATAAAATCACGGAAATAAATATTTGTTTGACTGATTGAACACAATTCTTGATAATTGAGACATTTAAAAATATCAAGTTTTGTTTCTGTTGGTAAAGAATAAAACATTTTTTGATGATAAAGCACTAAAAATTAATTTTAAAATTATTTAAAAATCTATGCAGTTTGTTAGATACTAAACACCATTCTTAATGCTAACAAGAGAATATACATATGTACGAGATACATATGTAAGACAGTAACTAACAAACTGCTTTAACACGATATAAATAATACATATAAGGAAAAATATGACAAAATAAAATACAAGAATAGTAACAGAATAACACTAAACTACCGAAATTAAATACTAGAATGGCTTTTATACTAAAGCTAACGGAGCAAATAAACAAACGCTACCTTTTGTATCTTTATCAGTATACGTTTAGAAGATATCAAGCGTACAGAAAATCTTCCAACATTTATTGGAAGAAATTAAAACTCAGTACCAACTGATTCTTAGCTCGTTGACCTCTGAGCAAGGCTTAAAAATAAACTTTGAAAAAAGTTGATTATTTGTTTTAATTTAAATATTGTTAGAAACTCTTTCGCACTTGAGCAAGACGATTAAAACTAGTTTTAGTAAACCATCTTGGGGCTAATATTTTGTATCATAAAGTGAGGTTATCTTAAGGTATTTGTTTTAGTATAAAAGCTGGGCATCAGTATCAGTAAAGTTTTATTCTATTTTGTCTCCAACAATATTCTTATTGTACCTCCTAGATTGTTTATTCATATCGCGATTAAGCACAGTTTGTTAGTTACTGTCTTATCTTTTTATTCTTTTGTTAGTGTTAAAACTTTGGAATTTAGTACCTAACAAACTGTGTAGATTTTAAATAATTTTTAGACTTAATTTTTAGTGCTTTATTTAAATTTTCTTCAAAAAATGTTTTATTCTTTACCAACGGAAACGAAGCTCGATATTTTTAAATTCCTCAAATATGAAGAATTATATTCAATCAAACAAACAAATTTATATTTTTATGAATTTATTAATAATTTTGAAGGAGAACTTGCTCGAGAGAAATTATTTATTATGATTATTGTAAAGTTTTTTAGGTTTTAAAACTTTCTTTATTTAGAAAGATTTCGTTCAATTCTACGAAACGAGATTAGTTAAACCCGAAGCTGGAAATTTTAACTTTGCCTTATTTGATGAGCAACATAAAGAAATAAATGAAGAAAAGGTAAATTGAAAATATTTAAAAATTTTCTTTCGTTTTTAGTGGGATAAGGAACTAAAAAACCCAATTCCTCTATATTTACCTGTTCTAGATTCAGACAACACTGTTATTTGCTTATCTAAAGGAGGCAAATTAAAAGGTTATGTTTCTAATTTTAAAAATTATCAGTCTAAAAATGATTTAAAACCATAAGAAGTTTGAACCTGACAGCCGGGACTAAAAAACGGGATATCATTTCAATCATTTAAAAAATTTTAATCCGCAATTGTCACATCCGCACGTGCTTATCCGCAATTGTAAGAACGGATAAATGATAGAAAAATGGGATGCATTACCCCTTCCTTTTTCTATGTTGACTGCTAAAAAGAACTAGAAAAGTTCAATATTTTCGTCTAAATTAAAATTTTTTAGATTGCCTCGATGAAAAGCGTAACATTAAACTACAGTTGCCAACAATTATTAAAAACAAAAATCAAATGAAAATTGTTTATTATTATTTGGATAGATTATTCAATTGTTCTTTTGAACACGGCTTCTTCGATAAATTTATCTTCAATCCGGAACTGATAGAATTATTATTTGGAAATGCTAAAATTCCTAAGAAATTTCATGTTATTTATTCGTCCTTAACGGCTTTTAAGGCTTACAATAGCGGAAATTTATTAAAATTTGCTGTGAATTATTTAATCGGCTTTTCTATTTTTATCAATTTTTCTCATGAAAACAATACTGAAGATTCTGTGGATATTTTAAGCAAAATTTTAATGAATGGAGACAAGTTTAGAAATGTCAGTTTGGGACTTACGGACGGTCCAGAACTTTACGATTTTGTTATAAATGTATGTTTTTTTACGTGCATTAGAATATAATGACTAGGGCACGGATTTATATTGAAATAAAATTGGGGAATATGGCCATAAAATATTGAAATAATTTGCAAAAAGGGCTAAATATTGAAGTATATTGAAATACAACCTTGTTAAAATTTGGGCTTCTCTCGACATAATATATTTATGAAGAAAAATGTATTTCAAAAAAATCCGTGCCCTAATAATGACACAAAGCGATACCTTAGAAAACAGACGCTATATTAGAAGAATCTCGCAGTCCTGTAAGAATCTCTATTTAAGAATTCTCTGCCTACGACTTAACTACAATTTTTTAGATACAAGGGGTATTTGAGACGGAAGTCAGGCTTTAATTACAGAACTAATTAAATATAATTTTTTAGTTATTAATTTTTTTATTAATTTTTTTTTTGTATTTTAGTTTATTAAAACATCAACAGATTGTTCAAAAATGGTGGATAAAATTGACTTGATTGCAAATAATCTTGATACTAATCTTGCTATTCTAAATAAAAAAGCTGAAAAGATTGGAGAGGAACGTGTAAATGAGTACCGGCCAAACTATTTAGCGCCAAAATACCAACTTTTCAACATTTATAATCCAAAAATTAAATTCTCTATTTTATATAATGGTGGGTTTGGTGGAATGGTTTGTACAGAAATTAGACGAATTTTTTGTTAATCTTCGATAATAGGCTCTGGAATGGATCTGCCCAGATTTTTTTCTCCAAATTATTTCTAGAACGGGTTTTTAGATCCAAATAACGGTTTCTGGGCAAATTCGATAATTCTATTTTATAAGCTTTTCCTTTTATGTATTTATTTGAGTTTAGAAATTGGTTTTAAAATTTCTGTTTTTGATAAACATAAAAGATTTTTTTAATTATTTATATTTCCATTATCTGTAAAATTATTACAGGGCAATGTTTTAATATTTTATACAATCATTGACATAGAAATACATAGGGGCAAGAGTAATTAAAATGAAACTTAACATTTTCTCAGTTAATTACATAATTAGGTTCTCGGTTTATTGCTGGGAATAAAAAGATAAGAATTTATCAAATATTAGTTGTTAGATTTAAGCAAAATTTTAGTGCGCACTTTTTGTGCCTATATAGGCGGCTATTTTTTATCTTTTTGCGCCTAAAAAGTAACCCTAGTCATTATTTCGAACTTTTAAATTTAACCCATGGCTCCCCAATGGGAGAATTTTTCTCCATTATAGGACGAAGTGTTTTTTGTAGCACATTATTTAGGCTTTCTGTCGGACTAAAAAGAAAATTTTTATATTTTATAAAAATATATTTTTTTAATTGTAACAAAGAAAACGATTTAATAAAAAAAACAAATGAGAACAATCTTTTTTTTTTAATTTTACTGTTCGACAAACAAAATAGAAATTATACTTTTTTAAATCTTAAACTAGAAGCAATATCTTTACGTCTTGTTTCGTTAATATAAAAATAAAATCTTTCCTTTGGATTGTGAATATTGGATATGTGGTAATTTATATATTTTATAACCCCAAAGTCATTAACTTTAATGTTTTCTGCTCTTTCACTTAATTTAAATTTTGTTCCTCCAGGGTGATGTAAAGAAATATAAGACACAATTTTTGAACAGTCTCTAGATGTTGCTATATACTAAAATTTATTTTTATAAAAGAATTTATAATTTAAAAAAGTCTGGTTAACTTACTTCAATAATGAGATCATAAATTTGTGGCAATTCGCATTTAAACCCAAACTCAACGTCATGTAATTTATCGCCTTTATTTAATAAAATATCAAGTAAAATATTTGTATATTGCTCTGGAACGTCAACATCTTTCAAATTCACCGAAAAAGATTCAGATATTACTATATTATCTAAAATGACCACCAAATTTTCACATATTCTATTGCCAGCAGATAGATATAAATAATCAATGTTAAGAAGAGGAATTGTTTTGTCGTTATCGAACAATATATTGAACATTTCTGGATTAAATATACCTTCGAGAAATAAAGCACGTTCAAAAGCACAATTAAAAAGTATTTCCGCCAAGCAACGAGCAATACCCATTTCTTGAATATTTTTTGGAATGTTTGGGAATTCTAAGATATAAGTAGATCCTCCGGCCTCTAAATAGAAAAATTATTAAAAATTATTTGGCAAATTGATAAAATTAATGAAATAATCTTTTATACCTGTCGTCTTTAAACCAACAAATAATTGACTGATGAAGTTATCCAAGAATAAAGGAATTGATTTGTCTATAGCTGTTTGCCACTGAAAAAATTTAACTTTAATTAAAAATTAATTTATTAACCTTCTCTTTAAGTTGATCGCTTAAAGTTATTTCAAAAATTTCGAATTTAGGTTTAATGAATTTATATGGCTTTAACTTTAGAAGAGATTTGGGCTCAATCTAAAATTAATTTAAATAAAAAAAAGTTTATATATTTACTATTGAAATTTTATAAAATTTAATTTGTGCCAATTCCCCCTCATATTTATTGATTAAATTGCAAAAATAAAAATAAGTTAGTTTAACAGAGAATAATTGGTTGAAATTAAGTAATTTTAATACATCAAGTTGAACTTCAGTTGGAAGAAAAAGCATTTTAATTTTAATAATCTAAAAAAGAAAAAATAGGAAAAATCCCAATTCTCCTAAAATTTTATTAATTAAAATCGATTGTAGTTTTATTAAGAAAAGTGAGAAGCAACTTAAATGTGGAGAGCGAAGGAGCATTAGACAAAACAACTTTGCTTAAGTACAAATCGCCTAAAGTACAAATTGTCTAAGAATAAAAAGATTTTAGTTATTAAAAGGGCTGGGCAAAACATTCAAATGCATTTATTGGAAGATTCCTTAGGTAAATTTTATTCGAAAACTAATTAAAATGTGTAAAAATTATCTGAAGATAAATTAGCAAGTATCTCCACTTGAAAATGTGATGAAAATAAAATTTAAAATAAAAATAAATATTTATTAGAAAAAGTCAATGAAAACCAAGAAATTTTTAAAAATATTTATTTCTCCAATAAATCAAAAAATGATTTTACCCTCTCAAATTTAACTCTTTTTCTAATTTTAATTTAAATTACTGGCAACTTGAATAAATATGTTTGTTTAAAACTCCAGTTTTTATGTAGGTAAGCTATAATATACTCGAACTTATAATACTGGAGAAAAAAAATATTTTTACTTTAATAAAAATCAGATACACGCAACATTAACTACATATATTTTTATATTAATTAAAATGTGTTTAAAAATAAATTAACAATGTTTAGATTAATTTCGTCTTCTCATATTTATTCGTCACTCACTATTTTAATATTAACGTAAGAATCCTCGAAATAATCACTTTCTTCAACGCAGAATGAAATTTTAACGTTCGGATTGTTTATATTGTAAATTTGGTATTTTGTATATTTTGCAGACGTTAATTGTTCAATTTTGACGTTTTCTGCTCTTTCATTTAATTTAAAATCCGTTGAATTCAAAAAAGTAAATTCAATGACAGGCACCATTTTTGAACAATTTCTAGATGTTGCTATATACTAAAAATTTTAAATTTATTTTTAGTTTTGTATTTGTGAATAACTTACTTCAGCAATATCATCATAAATCTTCGTTACATTTAGAACAGTATCCAAAAATCCTTGATCACTAATAGACTTCATATTAACTTCTTTAAAATAGTGCCCGGCTTCCTCCGCAGCGGCAAAAACTTTTTTCCGCGTAAATTGAGTGTTTACGCGTTTTTGCGTTAAACGCCGAAAATAGGCTGCGCCGAAAAACTTGCGCCTATTCGTCTGCGCCTATTCGTCCTGCTCCGTCCAAAACATCAATATAAATAAAGTTTCAGAAAATTTTATCGATTTAAACATTTTAAAATTGAATTTTCTCGAAACTTATGTGTTACAAAAGTATAAGCACAAAAGTATAAGCATATAAAAAATTTTTTATTCTTTTCTTTGGAAAATAAAATTGTTTTTCTTTAAATATTGAATAAATTTCTTTTAAATAAATTGGTAAGAAATAATAAAATTTTTTGAATATATTCACAAAGGAAGTGAATATAAGAGTTGCAGATCAAAGAGTTTGCAACATACTTTTGTGAACATAAGTTTCGAGAAAATTCAATTTTAAAATGTTTAAATCGATAAAATTTTCTGAAACTTTATTTTTGTTGATGTTTTGGATCCCTGCTAATGTAGGAAAAAAATAAAACAGATAATGCTTGGGGATCATGTATTTTTACAAAAATTTTGGGGGTGCTTAAACTTTTGTGACAGAGTGTACTATAGCGCAGACAACATTCAAGCTTTAGGAATCAAAAAGTTTGCATGTGAAGATTCAAAATCTTTTTTATTAACTGAATTTCGATAAAAAGAAGATTGAGAGGAAGAAAATCTTGAGAGAAAATAATACAAACAAAATTCAAAATTACCAAACTTCTTTAAATAAATTAGAAATACTTAAAAATAAATAATTTTTAATCTGCGAAAAACATAAATTTTATAAAATAATTTAATCGAAAGTCAACGAAAAAAATTTAAAAAAATTTATTTATCCAATAAATCAATCTTTCATTTTTTCGATTTGAATATAAAAAGTCGATCCATTTCCGTTCATTTCTCCAATTAAAAATGAGAATTTCACTTTTGGATCATAAACATTAGCAATTTGGAATTCTGTATATCTATTACCATTTAAATGTTTAATTTCAACTTTCTCTGCTTTATCGTTTAATTGAAGACGTGTGGAACTTAAATAATATACCATAATGACGGGCACTATTTTTGAACAGTCTCTAGAAATAGCTATATACTGGAAATTTAAATTTATTTTTAAACTTTCAATTAAATAACTTACTTTACCAATATAATCATAAAGCATTGAAACATTTATAGCATGATCCAATCTTCCTGTAGAAGTGTAAAACTTCATTTCAACTACTTCAAAATTGTCTCCTCCATTTGTTAAAAATTTAAATAAATCATCTATATATTTTGCCATAACATTTGTTTCTAGACGAAGAAAACAATGAAGAGTTTTACTGACTAAATTATTTGAAGTGAATTGAAATAAATTTTCAATATTGTGCTTCGTAATTGACAGAGAACATTCATTATTAATATAGACTTGCTTTGGAATTCTAGCATTTCCAAATAATAATTGAATCAGTTCTGGATTGAATATAAATTCTTTAAACTCTCCATTTTCAAAAGAACAATTAAATAATTTATTTAAATAATAATAAACAATTGTGATGTCTTCGTTGCTTTTAATAATGGTTGGAAATTTCAGTAGAATATTGTATCCAATCCCGGAAACTATAAATTTTTTAAAGTTAGAAGAATATAAAAACTTTTCGGACAAGAACCACTGCCATGGTGAGTGGTTACCACATCCGACTTGCAATTAACGGGAGACCCTTACAGCACTTAACATGTGGGACGCCCCGAGTGGAAGACAGTCGTGTCTAGCTTTGCTTGTGAATCCCGAGGCAGCAAGGTATTGACTAATACTAACGAATATGTAAATTCCTTAACACTCCCCCTCCACATGTAAATGCCTAATTAGCCTTTGTAGTTGATTTAATTACACCAAAAAAGGGTACCGAAAATCATTAAATGAAAATGATAGCCGACTCAATTCGCTGTATACCTTTTAGTGTCTCCGTTAGCGGATTAATGTGAACTCGAAAATTTTATTAAACAAAATTTTAACCTGTAGATAAGCAAATAACATTGTATTTGTTTAAATCATGTTCAGGTAAATACAAAGGAATTGGGGTTTCTGGTCCATTTTTAAACTAAAAAGAAAGGAAATCTTTAAAATAACTAATTTATTACCTTCTCTTCAAGCTCTTCATTCAATGAAAAGTTAAAATTTTCAGCTGTAGGTTTAATCAATTTATGCGGATTCTTTTTAACTCGAATGAAATCCTTCTGAAAATATTCAAAAATTAAATTAATTAAAAAACACCTACAATAGAAATGCAATTTAATTTCTCCCGAGCAAGTTTTCCCTCAATATTACTTATAAAATCATGAAGATAAAAATTAGTCAGACTGATTGAACATAATTCTTTATAGCTGAGACATTTAAAAATATCAAGCTTTGTTTCTATTGGCAATGAATAAAGCATTTTTTGAAAGTTTAATAAATCGCTAAAAATTGAATTTAAACATGGTTTAAAAATCTATAAAGTTTGTTAGGTACTAAATTCCTTTATTTTAGTACTAACAAAAGAATAACCGAGATAAGAAAGTAATAACAAACTCTGCTTAATCATAATATAAATAAAAAATAACAATGATGTACAATATGTACAACTAAATGGAATAAAACCACAAATACTGAGACCAAGACTAAACTATAGAGAGCTTTTATACTAAAACAAACACCAAGACACACCTCACTAAATAAATGACACAACATATTAACCCCAAAGCGGTATACTAAAGCGATCTTCTAATCATATACTGATAAAGATACAAAGGTAGCATTAGTTTATTTGTTCCGTTAACTTTAGTATAAAAGCCATTCCAGTATATAGTTTGGGGGGTAGTTTAGGGTTATTCTGTTACTATTCTTTTATTTATTTCGTCTCTAACAATATTCTTATTGTGCCTAGATTGTTATTGTTTATTTATATCGTTAGAGAGCTAAGATTGTTAGTTACTGTCTTATCCCATTCCTTTGTTAGTGCTAAGATTTTGTAGTTTAGTAACTAACAAACTGTACATAAAGATTTTTGAATAATTTTTTAAACTTAATTTTTAGTTCTTTATTTAAATTTTCTTCATAAAATGTTTTATTCTTTACCAATCGAGACAAAACTTGATGTTTTTAAATGTCTCAATTATAAAGAATTGTGTTCAATTAGTCAGACGAATGTTTATTTTTATGATTTTATTAAAAATTTTGAAGATAAACTTGCTCGGGAAGAATTTCATTGCATAAAGATTTTAACGGTTTTTAGTTAAATTTTTTATAAAATTCTTCTCTTAAGGATGATAGCGATTTATTTGATGATGTTCCTCGTAAATTAATTAAACTCGAAATTGAAGATTTTGGTTTTCCATTGAATGAGCAACTTGAAGAGAAGGTAATCAAAATTAAATTATTTAAAAATTTTCTTTCTTTTTTAGTTTAAAGATGGACTTGAAAAACCAATTCCTTTGTATTTTCCTGCTCAAGAAGCAAAAAATATTGTTATTACCTTGACTAGAGGTAAAATTTTGTTTATAGATTTTGTTTAATTATAATAAGTTTCTTCCTCTTTTTATGGTAACCCTTTCCTCGTTTGTTCACTACTTTCATTATTCTTTAGGCTTTAATAATTGTGGGGGTCTAATGCCTAAAGTAAATTGGTCTGTGGCTATTGATAGCCTTTGTGGCGTGTCCTAAAGACGAGTACTTAATTTCGAGTCGAGTACCGAGTAATTGGGAAAAAATCGAGCTCGAGTACGCCGAGTTTGAAAACCCCGAGTTCAAGTTCAACTTTTTTGGTCGAGTTCGTTATTTGAGTAAGGTCGAGTTGGGTAACTCGAACTCGCTCGACTCGGACGTACTCTAGTTTTAAGTTCTGCTCGTTTTTATTAAATTTGATTTTTGCAGACTTTAATACACATTTTCATAATTTCTTTGAGGTTTCTGTAAAACTATTTATCTTCTTCAACTGCCAAACATCGTTCAAAGCAAGGAGGACATTAAAATTGTTTATAATCATTTAAATAAATTATTTAAATGTGCTTTTAAATCGAGCGTCTTTGAAGATTTTATATTCAATCCAGAATTGATCGAGTTGTTATTTGAAAATACTCCTAAACAATTTTGTAGTCAAAATTGTTGGCTGTTTTTGGATTGTAATGTTGGGGATCATTTAAAATTTGCTTTGAATCATTTGATTATTACCGATTATATGCAACTTAGTTTTCGTCCGGATAAAGACAAAACAAAAACTATAAATATTTTATCAAAAATTTTAATGAATGGAGACAAGTTTAGAGGAGTTCGCTTAACGTCGAATAAATACTTTAATCTTTTTGATTTTGCTATGAATGTAAGTTTTTGGGGTACTAGTCTTATCTCCCCCCACAAGTACGCTAATTTTTGGTTGTAAATTTTTCTTGCCTTCTTCCTTCGTTTCTCCTCTCAAAAATTAGAAAATATTCAAAGGATATTTTTGTGGCTCCCCTTTTTAAGTAGGGGGAGCCCTAATTCCTTAAAAACATCTATGGATCTAGCCTATGGTCAAGGTTCTAATTGTTTAAACTGGTGATTCATGACAAAAGACACTTTTGAAAGGGAATTCGGTTATCTTCACCAGTTTCAACCTTTTCCTCTCCTGCTATCAAAAACAAGGAAAAAGGCAAGTTCAGGGAATTGTGGAAGAAATGTAAAAAGGGTCGCATAACCCGAAATTTTACCTAATCTGATTTTTTCTTTTATTTTAGTTTATTGAAACAACAAAAGATTGCTCAAAAATGGTGGATTTTATTGGATTATCTTGTGTTTATATGAAAATTATTTTACATGAAAGAGCTGAAAATATTGAAGAGCATCGTTTAACTGGGGATTATCTTTCAATAACAAAATACCAAATTTCCAACAAATATAATCCAAAAATTAAATTCTCTATTTTGTATTGGAAAGCTCAAGGCAAAATTATCGATATAGAAATTAAACAAATTTAATTAAATGATGTTTTCTCTGTTTATCTCATATTTTACCTTTGATTACTGAATTAGATTCGCCCTGATTTTTATTATACTTTTTAATAAAATATATGTTTTATTTCTTTCTTTTTTCAAAAATTTGTTGAAACAATACAGCAAGAATTAAACATTTAGGTAGGCAAATAACAATATTGTTGTTTAAATCTTAATCAGGGAAATACAACGGAGTTGGATTTCTTAATCCATTTTTCCACTAAAAAAGGGAATTTTGATTTTTGAATATCTGAACTCCTCTATTTTCAACTTTAACAAGAAAAAAACAAATGCAATAAATTATAAAAAAATTAAATAGAAAAAGTGAATGAAAAAAACAAGATTTTTTAAAAATATACTTATTTTTCCGTTAAATCAAAAAACTTTATTTTCGCCTTCTCAAATTCTAAACTTTCATTTTCTTAATTTTAACACTCAAAACTGATCCATCTTTTCCTTCTTCATTGCAAAATGAAAATCTAACTTTTGGATTGTGAATATTTGCAATTTGGTATTTTGTATATTTAACTCCATTTAATTGTTTAATTTCAACGTTTTCTGCTCTCTCACTTAATTCAAATTTTAGAGGCCAAGAAAATTGTATAGAAATATTAGCCACCATTTGTGAACAGTCTTTGGAGTTTGTTATATGCTTAAATTTGTATTTATTTTTTAAAATTTATTTTTAATTTTATTACATTGTAATAGGTTAGGTATTTATTTGGCTTTTTCAAAGTTCCCCTATTTCCTTTGGCATCTTATTAACCGAAAAAGATGAGTATTTTCTTTTACCTAAATTTGAATTTTCCCTAGATAACTTACTTTAACAATATCATAATAAAGCCATTCCAACTTGAGATTTCTTAAAAGAATTTTTGGTAAGTCATAACCTTTCATTGTTATGATATCCAATAAATTTGAATTATCCGTCCAGTATAAGCCATTATTACCAAAATTGATGGTAAGACAATCAGAAATTGTTAGATGATTTGAAACAAATTTCAAAATATTATTAAATGAAACAAATCTGTTAGGAAAAATATTTGGTTTTTGAATGTTAAATTTGGGAGAAATTGTTTTGTCGTCATTGAATAAAAGATTAATTAGTTCTGGATTAAATACAGCTTCATTAAATAAAGCATATTCAAAAACACAATTAGTAAAAAGTTGTCCCAAACAGTAACGAATAATAGCCAATTCTTCAAAGCTTCTAGGAAATATTGGCAATTTTAGAATATAATAACGAGGTTCGTTGTCCAGTAAATAGTCAAAGGTTCTCTCAATACAAACAACAGAGTTTAAAGAGCTTTCATCATCTTCAGAAAAAATATCAAATAGAAATAACGGAAAAGATCTGTGTGTAGGTACTATCGGTGCTTTCCACTGAAAAAATAGTAAATTAATTCAAGACCATTGCCGTGGTGTAGGATTCTGCACAATATTAACCAAGGATCCTGCCTAAGCGATTTCCCGAAATCGAGAATTTTGTTTTTTTGTCGGTAGGATCCCTGCTGTATACTCTATATGTACAGGTGGCATGCTCCAAGTAGAGAGGCAATCGGGTCTAGCTTTGCTTGTTCACAAGGCAGGAATTGCTAGCATTCGTGTTTCGTACCACCCCTAATTTTGGCCAAGTACTCATACTTAGTATGGTCTCCTTTATTCCGTTATCGTACTTATCCTGTTTTTGGCCTAGTACCAATATCTCGTACTTAGGAGTATGAATTTTATATAAAAATTTTGTTAAAAGACGAATTGGTAATAGTGCAGTTACCGGGCCCGCTTTTTTTTTCTCGTTCCCTGACCATTTTGAGCTTTTTTTGAATGATATATAATTTATTATATCTCATTCGAAACAGCTCTTCGAGCTTGGTCGTTTGATACAAATATTGTCTAAATCTGATCATTCTTACCAGAATTATGAAACTAAATCCTCGTTGGGAAAATTTTTTGTGCTAATGCAAGGGAATAAAATAAACGTCACAACTAAATTCACTTAAGTTGGATTTCGTTGATTTTAATGTCATTCGACTCAGTTCGAAGGGCTCTTTCGAATGATATATAATTGGCCATAAAATGAGAAGAAACTAGGAAAAAATAGAAAGGAAAAAAAGGGCCCGATAACTGCACTATTACCACGAATTTTAGTACGAGCATCGATACGAGCTTAGGTACGAATCCTTATGTAAAAATTGAGGACGGAACTTGAATTTTACCCAAAAAAGAATCCAAAGATTTAATTTTTAACCTTTTTACGCTGATCATTTAAAATATATTTAACAAATCCAGGCTTGGGTTCAACGATTTTATATGAATCTAACTCTTGAAGATTAACATTCTGAAATTGAATTAAAAAAAGTATATTAATATTAACTATTGAAAGTTTTTTGAATTTCATTCGAAAGCACAATTCTCCCTCATATTTATTAATTAAATTGAGAAAGTAAAAATTTGTCAATTTAAAAGAAGTTAATTGATCAAAATTAAGACATTTTGGCTCTATCTGAAATGAGGTGCGTAATCATATTTTTTCTCCTTCTTTTCACGAGGTAAAAAGGGTCATTTTTTCCTTAGTATTTAATTTGTGTTGTTTTGCCTTAAAGAAAAATAATGCAGGAGGACTAACTTTTTACATTTTCTTTTCTGTGCCCGTGTTGTCTGTCCGTGTTCGTCCTTGTTTGGTACGTGTATATGTCAGTCTTCGTCCGTGTTTTGTCTGTCCGTTTCGTCCGAGTTTTTCTGTCCGTGTTCTGTCTGTCCTTGCTCGTCCGAATTTTGTCTGTACATACACGTACCAAACAAGGACGAACTCGGACGAACACGGACAGACAACACGGGCACAGAAAAGAAAATGTAAAAAGTTAGTCCTCCTGCATTATTTTTCCTTAAGGAAAAATCAACACAAATTAAATACTAAGGAAAAAATGACCCTTTTTACCTTGTGAAAAGAAGGAGAAAAAATATGATTACGCACCTCATTTCAGATAGGGCCGACATTTTAATACAGGGTGTTTCAGCTGAAAAGCGCTATTTGAAAAATTAATAAACTTTTACTGCGTGGACAGATTTAAATGAAATTTTGTATTTTGCATCTATATTTTATGGCAATTTTTTTGACATAAGAATTATGTCGAAATTCGAACCCTAACCCGAGATAATTTCGTACTCTATCGTTCTGTTTTTCCCTTTTTCCGCACATGCATTCTTACTCCCTTTTGTTTGTTACAAGCGGCGATAGACACTAGAGTAAACACTAAGCGATAGACACTACATTTTCAATACAGTATCCACTCTTCGCCATACGCAGGAAAATAAATGCACTAAGATAGCGCGCAATAAAAAGAGAAAGGAAAGAGAACGGTAGAGTACGAAATTGTACGAAATTGAAATACGGGGTTAGGGTTCGAATTTCGACATAATTTTTATGTCAAAAAAATTGCCATAAAATATAGATGCAAAATACCAAATTTCATTCAAATCTGTCCATGGTGTAAAAAGTTATGGATTTTTCAAATAGCGCTTTTCAGTTGAAACACCCTGTACATCAAGTTTTGCTTCAATTGGAAGAGAATACATTTTTAATTATCTAAAAAATAGGGGAAAAATCTTGAGATAAATAAAAAGAAAAAAGCAACAGCCGTTGGATTTTCTTGTTCGGATAAGGATGTCGGATTGAGATGTAAATTATCTACTTAAAAACGGCGGTAAGAGATGCCATTTTTCTATGAAATTTTGTTGAATAAATGAAAAATAAATCGAAAAATGCTAAAATTAGTAGGTAAAAATGTTTTAATTTTTAGAAAAAGTCATCTAAAATAACTGAATGGCAAGTAAATGTTGGAAACAGGAATTTTTAAAGCGAAGTTTAATTCGCTTTTATTCATTCTCATTGCCTAATTACACAGAATGGGCGTTGTTTAAAAACGACATGTAAATGTCTCACAAAGGCAATAATTTTTTATATTAAATGTTAATTTTTAAATGATAGAGGAAAATTTGGAAGATTGTATGGTTGAATGCCAACAGAAAAAAATATTTAGCAAAAAATACTTTTAATTTATGAAATTTCAACAAATAGATTGGAAAAAAATAAAAAAAATTTTAAACTAATAATTATCAAGAAACAAAAAATTTAAACGATTTTTAAAGTGTAAGCGATGTTTACCGAAAATTGGTTTTCTATATTCGCCCATTAATTTTAAACTTATGCAGGAAAAGATATGGTCAGAATAATCCATTCCGAAAATATGTAAATCAGTTAAAATAATGACTATGTGCTTCAATTAGACAAGCCATATTAAAATAAATATTATCTAATTTAATGTTAGTTACCAACAGTGTTCATAAATTTCAGCTTTGCTCGTATGCGTACTTCGTGCCAAGGTACGAGTACGAATTTTGGTATGAGCTTATGAACACTGGTTACCAATTTTGAGTAATATGTATTTTATTGAGGGTTGACCCCTATTTTAATTAACAAATTTTTGAAAAATAGGAAAAAATATGTTTATCAAAAAAGCAAAAGTAAAATAATATTGTTAATTATTTCTTTTAGAAACCGCCCAGAAATCGGTAGTTTGATTTGGAACTCATACTGAAAAAGATTAAGCGAGAATAATTAATTCCGGAAATGTCAAAGTATAAAGGTCTGGGCGGATCTAGTTAATATAAATTATCAAAAAAGATTTAACATTAAAGGCGTTTAATCGTTAATTTTGTCAATTGCCGCTTATATAAGATAGAGTATTTAATTTTTGGATTATAAATGTTCGAAAGCTGGAAATCTTTAATTTTTTCAGCTCTTTCATCTAAACTAGCAAAGTTGATAATACGATTATTCAATACAATATTAGCCACTATTTTTGAGCAATCTCTTGACGTTTCGATATGCTAAAATTGAAAGAAATAATTTACTTAAGTTCTTCGAAAATATTCGGGTTTAGTTTAGGACGGGCTTGCATATACTCTATTTTTAAGACGTATATACACTGATGGGACGATTATACTATTTTTGGGACGCATAAATGCTCATGCACATTTGCCCTAAACCATTCTTTAGAAAATTCTCAGTTGAAATTTTGGGATTGCTTTTAACAGAAAAATCTGCTAGCAATTGAGCAATTAAATCCTATAATAATCTGGCAAGTTTGAAAAGTGGATATTATGTCAGAACAGGTTTAGAAAAATACCGGGAGGTTTTTAGGTAAGCATGTCTGAACTCTTACAAAGATAATGCAAAAATAACCATAAAAACTTACATTTGTAATAAGATCAAAAAGTTTTTGCAAATTACGGGCTTGTAAACAAACTTCATTAAACTTGTTTCCCCTCATTAAAATTTTAAATAAAGCATCTGTATATTCTGTTGTGTCTATTTTTCGACAAAAATTAATTCTAAGTAAATCACTGATAATTAGATGATTCAAAATAAATTGAAATTTATTTTCAATACTGTAGTAATCCATAAGCAGCCAAGCTTTTTGAATATAAACTTGCTTAGCATTTCCAAATAATAATTCGATCGCTTTTGGATTGAATGTGAATTCTTCAAAATAGCCATATTCAAAAGAACAATTAAATAATTTATTTAAATAATAATAAATAATTGTGATGTCCTCTTTGGTTTTAATAATTGTTGGCAATTGTAGACGATAAGGGGTTTCATCGTTTTTAGCTAAAAAACATTTAATTTCATACAGTCCGCATAAAAAATCTGACCTTCAGTTAAGCAAATATCAATATTGTTGACTAAAAATTGATCAGGCAAATATAAGGAAATTGGTTTTTCTAGTCCATTTTTCAACTAAAAAGTAAAGAAATTTTGAAAGTAGAGGAGATATTTTAAATTACCCTCCCTTCAACTTGTTCATCATTCATGGAAAGTTAAGATTTTCAGCTTTAGGTTTAATTAATTTATGAGGATATTCTTCGGATTGATCGAAATATTCCTTAAAATTATTTAAAGATTTAATTAATTAATTAACGTTACAATTGAGATTTTAAATAATTTCTGCCGAGCAAGATTCTTCTCAAAATAATTAATAAAATCACGGAAATAAATATTTGTCTGACTGATTGAACACAATTCTTCATAATTGAGACATTTAAAAATATCAAGTTTTGTTTCTGTTGGCAAAGAATAAAACATTTTTTGATGATAAAGCACTAGAAATTAAGTTAAAAATTATTTAAAAATCTATGCAGTTTGTTAAATACTAAACACCATTCTTAGTGCTGATAAGAGAATATACAGATATGTAAGACAGTAACTAACAAACTGCTTTAACACGATATAAATAATACATATAAGGAAAAATATGACAAAATAAAATACAAGAATAGTAGCAGAAAAACACAAACTACCGAAATTAAATACTAGAAAGGCTTTTATACTAAAGCTAACGGAACAAATAAACAAACGCTACCTTTTGTATCTTTATCAGTATACGTTTAGAAGATATCAAGCGTACAGAAAATCTTCCAACATTTATTGGAAGAAATTAGAACTCAGTACCAACTGATTCTTAGCTCGCTGACCT